TTTCAACATGCAATTTCCGCTAAGGATTGTAATGCATATTTACTTTTTTCCCTTCATATACATATGTGTATATACATATATATACATATGTATATATATATGTGTATATGTACATATATACGTGTATATACATATATACACATATATGTGTGTGTACATATACATACACATATATATATATGTATATATATATATACATATGTATACATAATAAATACAAACATACATATATACATAATGTAAATTGAGGGGATCGCCCACCAGAGAAATTTTGTGCTGTTTTTAGATGATGTATTGTATCGCGAAACTGAGCGCAAAATCAAACCACTCACGGGATGATACTGCAATTTTTGATTCGGGAACCTATTGTCGAATTCATTGGCAGGCGTTAGCTGCCGACCCCACATTTCGCATCCCAGTTTTTCAGGCGGACACATCGTTCGCATTCCCTGCTGATACATGCCGTAACTGAAGAGAAACGATATAAACATTCGCTGTAACGTAAACAAACCGTCACTTGTAACGTTACTTCGCTCTCCACACTATCCAAACCATTCGCTGTCGTTTCGTCGTTGCTTGCAATCCTTGCACCCCCCACCTCATCAGTGCAATATGCATCCATACCCCAACATGCAAAACTCGTAATATCGAGTTGTTTTTTACATATTACGTCCAGACCTATAGACTTTCTCCAAGCATCAATTTTTTTTGCTGAGCACAAGACCAGTTGCTTTCAATTCCTGCCTCCAAGCAAAGTCCCAGTTCTTTTTCAGACAGTACAGCTTCCTTCCCCCAGTTACAACTTCCTGAGACCTAATCCACTACTTCCCCCTCTGCTCCCCCCTCCCCCTCCCTCACCCGCGTTTTCACTTCTTCCCAACCACTTCTGTCCTCCCCTCTCCTCCCTCCGCGCCACTCTCCCACCCTCCTCACTGCAACAAGCCTGCCAGCCCGGTCAAGCCGAGCCCAGTTTTTGTAATTATCATTTTTCCCTTTGCTCTGTTGCTACATTTTCATGCGTTTTGTGCTGCAACAGTTGCACAAGACGCATACTGTCGCGACCCTGTTTGTGTGTTATGTGTTCCGAGTGCATTTTAATCCAGAACTTTCAACTTGGGAACCACCGATGCTAGGAAACTGAAATTTTAACACGGGGGGAGGAGGGGGGGGGAGGACCCCTTACACGCATGTGAACTCGCAAACTCAAATTCAGCGCCTGCGCGAGCCTAGGCTTCACGCACGGTCACTTGAAAGTTCTGGCACCTAAATCAATAACACGAGAAGCACGGAGACAGGAAGCTGGGATTTTGAGACGTCCCTTGCCCGCGTATGACCCAATAAGCTCCAATTCATTTTCCCCGCATACCTAGATCTGACGTAGGGACACATAAAATTTTTGGGCGCCAAAATTGTAACTCGAGCACCGTGAAAGCTAGGAAGCTGAAATTTCAGAATCATGCTCTTGCCCACATATAACTTCAGCCCTGCGCACGCCTAAGTCTCAATTGTGGATGCGTGAAAGTTTTGGTGCCAAAATCATTAAATTCGGAGTCACAAAAGATAGGAAACTGAAATTTTAGGAGAGTATTCCTCAGGTGAGTGTGACCCAGAAAAATTGAATTTAGCCTTTAATTGCACCTAGGCCTTGCATACGAACAGATGAAAGCTTCGGCGCGAAATTAATTCGGGAACCAGAAAAGCTAGGAAGCTGAAATATTCAAATGACCATTGCCTGCGTGGGACCTCTCAAACTCAAATTCAGCTCCCATCAACCGCGCATGCCCAGCTGCTACGCACGAGCACCTGAAATTCTTGGTGTCTAAATTAATAACTTGGGGAACAGGAAAGCTAGGAAGCTGAAATTTCAGAATAACGCTCGTGCCGTTGTATAAATCCAGTCCCTGCGCACGTCTAAGTTCTCGGTATGGATATGCGAAGATACTGGCGCGAAAACTAATAAGTCGGAGATCACTAACAGTAAAGTATTGGTGCCAAAATTGACATGCAACGTATCACACAGTAATGCAGTGGACAGTTTTAACATCAAGGTTCCTCTGAAGAGAGTTGGACAAGACAGGGCTGCAAAAGCATCCGCGAGGCAGAACTGCACAACCAATCATTTGCACAAAACGCATGCTCGCACAAGCTACTCTGGTGCGCGCCGTTACTTTTTTTTTGCACTACTTCCGTGGGCATTCCGCTTATCCACCACTTACGGCAGTCGCTAGCTCAACAATCGCACAGTCAAGTGCTAAAGGTGTCCGATCCGAACCATATGGGACGAGGCAACAGTGCAGGGCATATCATCACTGCCGACCTGCTACTACCCGTACAGACTGTATGCCGTACAAATACTGTAAAACTTACTCTCTGGACTGTTGAGGTGCAGCACCGTCAGCAGGGAAGCTGGAGGGGAAATATGGCGACGAAATGGCGGAATGATAACCCTGAGGAGCGGGAGGGTACACATTTTGTGGATAAGGACAATACATGAAGCCATTATGTGGTGCGTACTGCACACCACAGCCAGACGGATTGAGAGAGGGCCTAAGCGGCTGCGATGCTGGCATGCTGTGTGCAGATGTCTGTGGCAACGAGACCATCATAGGTAGGCTCGGCGGCACTGACGATGCCGGCTCCGCTGCTGCTGCTGGTGGTGGTGGTGGTGCCGGTGGCATTTGCTGCGGACAAACAGGCCGTCTACAGCTCTCCTGCATCATCACGCCTGTGTCCGGATTTGCAAAACACGGGTACTGAGGAGCTGGTGCTACAGCCTGTGAGGAACAGTTTGGCATCATAGGAGGCATATAAGGAGCGGCAGCAGCGCCACGAGTTTCGTGCATCATCCGGTCCCACTCCGTCTTCGCTTTATCATACATTATCTGCTGCTCAAGTGTCCGCATCTTTTCCAGCTTCGCATTACGATCCTGCTCTCTGAAACATTGCAACTGTTTCAGCAGAACACCCACCATCCCTCTTGCTCACTGCAAAAACAAATTAAAAGGGACGAGGAACTGGCGAAAGTTATGCATTGAATCCGCTATAGATGCCCTCTGAAACTTAGTGAGAAAGTTGAAGATAGGCATTGCACGTCCAGCTTTGAGAACTACGAATTCGCAGCACTAGCCTTTATATTTGGCTATGAGAGAAAAACCACCTTGCGCAGTGCAAAAATGCGATATCCTATTTTACTTATTACGCAGCCAGATGGACAGGGTCCACCGAATATATGTGTTAAATGGAACAGAAGTTTATAACCCATAGTATGCGGCAGGTACCTTTTTGCGGGTTGAATGCTTTCCGAGGAGGAGCGGCATATTTTGGACGGCGGCTCAAAAAGGGAGTCCTGCGTCATCCGCTCCATTCGCCTGCAAAACAAGCTCATTTCAGTGTAACAACATAAAAAGCAAAAACATCAGTCTTTGGACTGAAGACTCGAAACACAATAAAACGTAGGTTAAACTGATTAAAATTCAATGGCGCATTCAACGGAAAGAGGAATGACTCCTTTTGCCGTGGCGAAGGATACAAAAACTGCCCCCTCGTAGCATCGCGAAAGCAAAGTGAAATGGCAGAAATAAAGCCGCCTAAGCAAAAGATTACACAAAAAGAACGGAAGGGAGGGGTGGGGCGGGCAAGGCGAAGGGGGGCGGGGGAGGGGGAAGCGGAGGGAATATGTAAAAAGCAACAAACACAGAAAAGGGAAATTATTGTTCAAAACAGTTAGAGCGGAATGTAGCCGTTCTGAGCACTAATTTCATAAACGTCACAATTTACCGTTTCAGTGAGCATCAAATCTGAGCAAACGGTAAAAAAAATAGATAATTAGCGGCGCGCTCCAGGGCAGTCGGTGCGATCATGCGTTTTGTGCAATTCCGTTCACCGAATGATTGCCTACTAATGATTTTCACTGCGTTGCACTTTGGTCTGTGCAAAAACAGTTGAAATGTTGTCCGGTTCTTAAGTTGCGGAATTTCCCACTAGAAATTTCATGCACACGAGATA